GGGTTAGTAATCGGGGATGCACCATCCACCTTATGGCCTCCCACTAATGACCTTTGCTAACCCACTGGGTTACAACATGAGGCCCTGAGCACCCCTGCCCCACCCATGCACTTCTCTCCCCAGAAATTCACAGTTTTCCTCTTCCTCTTCCTGCCACACGCTACTGCATCAAGACCCAGAGTGACAACTGGGCTTGCCCCTCAGAACTGCTAAGCAGCTCAAGGCTGAGGTGGATGCTAGGAAATTCGATAATAGGGGTGGGTGGGGATGCTTGGTGGGTAAAACATTTGCTGTCCAAGTGTGAGGACCTGAGTTCCATCCCAGCACCTAGGCAAGGGCAGGATGTGAGAGCGGGTCTCACAAAATTACTCTGTGACCTTCACATGTGTGTCATGGCACACAGGTTTCCTACCTCCAACAAGTGCACAAATCAATCAACCTAGTTTTTCAAGCTGGGTTTTATCAATGAGAACTTGTAACCCCAGTGCTTGAGCAGAAAGAAAGGGGATCCCTGAAGTTCACCGGTTAATCAGTCTAGCCAAATCAATGACCTCCAGGATGTAAGTGTATACAATATGATATGATGCTTGAGACAGGACATAACCATAACATGGAGATGGAAAGGCATTAACATATTCTAATGTTTTTTCCTTTCTTCTGTGTTTCTGGTACTGTAGAGCACTGAAAGTGGAGGTGAAGTTTGCTATGATTTCACAATATGTATAACACACACACACACACACACACACACACACACACACACACACAAAATTTAAAAGTAAAATAGAGAAATAAGGGAAAGATACTCAGCATCAATCTCTTTGGCTTCCACCGTCCGTGTTCACTCACTGGATTGCACTGCTGTGGCTGAGGTTCCGGATCAACCCAAGCAGACCCACAAGGCAAGATTTAATGCAGGGCAGCACAAAAGAAGAGGCTGCAGAACGGAGCTGAACTGCGACCCCAAATGCCAGCTAAAGCAAGTATTTAAGAACAAAAGTCACAAACATTTGTTGCCAAGTTACAGCTACAATTTTTTGCCAATCTGAAATCAAAGATTAGGGGCTTTCCTTTAGTGTTCCACGATTGTCAGCCACACATATAATGCAAGCGTTTCAGTCCAACTGATCAGATCTGTTTGCTCTTTCTGTTGTTAGGAACACCCATTATGTTTCCAGAGAACTAACGATGTGTAACGACTATTTGTACAGGTTAAGGAGGTGGGTCAGCTATTGGAAGGTTCCCAGTTCACCTAGAGCCTAAGAACCTGAATTTAGTTTCACCCTACAGGTGAAATGGAGTCTGAAGTTAGAATGGCAGCACTTAAGACAACGTGCTTTTTGCCCGTTCCCAACAGTACCTCACATGGTATACAGAGACAGAAAGGTAACAGTACACACATACCTCACATGGTATGCAGAGACAGAAAGGTAACAATCATAGGCACCCCAGTTGCTGCCCGGCCCTCCCATCTCTCATAGTGCACTCAATAAATAATTATTCCTATCTAAAAAAAGGAAAATAAATGCTTTAAGAGCCAGCCAGACACATACACACACCTAACTAAATTATTAACTAAGTGTAATAATAATAATATTTTAAAGCTTAGGCTGGAGAAATGGCTCAGCAGGGAACAGGGCTTGCGGCTCTTCCAGAAACCCTGAGTTCAGTTTCCACTTCTTTGATGACTCCACTTTCAGTTATGACTCTAGTTCCAGGGGCTCTGATGCCAACTTGTGGCAACCCCAGGCACCTACATACCACACACACACACACACACACACACACACACACACACACACCGAGTGCATGATGGGTGATTCTAAAAATGCTGGGCACATTGGGCACTTGATGGGCAACTGGGGGCACTGAGTTCCTTGTACTCTCAGAGAAGCACTAAGAACCAGGAATGTTTTAATCATACACAGTGCCTCCTTGATAGAGGTAAAACCCAAATACCTGCATTCCATCCAGAAAGCTGGGAGTGGATTTTGTTAATGACCTGGTGACCTTTTTGTTATCTATGGAGCTAGACCTCACCCGAATACCCCAGAATGATTATCCCAGACTCTTCCCCCCCTAGACCCTTACCTAAACTTAGGGTGGATGTCACATGTACCTTAGGTACTGCTGACCTCTATGCTGCTGGTCTGAGGCCACACTAGACTCTAGGTCTTTTAGCTACAGAACCCACCCTTATGGTCACCTGTACTTTGTAAAAGAGCCTGTCTCTATGTAGACAGACCTTAAACTTTATTGTGCACCTGGAATTAGATTGACTGTTGCCTGGAAACCTTTTCCCAACTCTAGTAGTTGTTTTAGTTGTTCTAGTAGTAGTAGTGGGTTTTAAATATGTTGACAATGAACCACGGGGTATTAGATTCTCTGAATTCTGATCCAGGTTGACAAATACACAGGGTTTTCATTCTCATCTCTTCACTCAGTTTGCTTCCCTGTGTGGCATCTGCAGGGCCTCGCTGCTTATAGAAATGAAGCATTTAGCCTGGCAGTGGTGGCACCTTTAATCCCAGCACTGGGGAGGCAGAGACAGGCGGATCTCTGTGAACTTGAGACCAGCCTGGTGTACAAGAGCTAGTTCCAGGACAGCCTCCAAAGCCACAGAGAAACCCTGCCTT